GCCAACCTGTGTAGCTCGTTGGGTCAGACAGGTGCACAAGCCATCACACCACGTCAAGGTGCAGTCTCGTCGTGGCGGAAGGTGTATGATTCTCGCCATGACTGGTTTGTGCATCTAGTGTATTGGACTCTTAAATAATTTGAATTGAGTTTATTTTTCACGCTAATCTATTCACGGAGAAAACCAGGTTTCAAGAAGTCTGTAGGCTTGGGAGGAAATTTGTCCCTTCCGTACGGTGGCCATTGGGCACGTCCGGTTCAGAACTGTGAACAGCAATCTCGGAGAATCGTAAACAGTTAACCAATGGTGGTAAAAAACAGATTTTCAAAAAATAAGTTAAATGTGGCCACTCACCTGTCGGATCACCTGTTTGGACAATAAATCCTTTGATATTACGATGAAAAATGCACCCTTTGTAGTAATCGGATGCGCACAGTGCGAGGAAGTTCTTTGGTCCAGCAGTTGTAGTTTCACGCGGGGCAATGTAGATCAGATAAAAGGGGAGGGGATTGAAAGTGAATGAGTTCCAAATAACCAGAGATGAAAGCGAGAGCATACACACGCACGCACAATTAGAACAGACGATACGGGATGAGGGCAGTATACAATGGGCAACGGTGAGCGGAGGGAAAAGAGAGAAATGGGAGGAAGGAGGAATTGAAATGAAAAGCACAGAGAATACAAAAAGGTCGATACAGTGAAATTGAAATACTTCTAACTGAATAGGATCAGTCAGTGCAAAATATGTACATTCTATTGTTGTTGTTTTTTTTTACTAATATCGGTATCCTCTGTGTGATATTGATGAATGTAAATCACACGATTCGGAACTATCTACCACTAAGGGACTAGTTTTAGACTCAGACTTGGAAGTGGAGGGGAATTTTCTCAGTGCTAACAAACCCCATGGGGAAGGACCTTGGGAATGTGTGCGTAGATCTTTAAGCCATTGTTCACACGTACAGGCAAGCAGAGCCCAGTCGGCTTCGTCTATACCACGTAACATATTGTGACAGGGATGGATGGGATTCGGACAAATCAGATAGTCTTGATCGGAAAATGAGTCACCAAATGAGGCCAGATCATCGCTATCCGAATCCGTGTTGAACCGTAAACATGACTCCAGTAGGGGCTCGGCTGCAGTTCGTGAAATCAGACGACCCGCGCTTAAACTCATCAGAAAATGGGACGGGTTGATAGTTGGAATGTAAGTTAAAAATTGTTCCAGAAGCACATCGATCGAAGGCACCGGACAAAGACCTTCTAACAACAGTGGATCCGGAGATGAGTGTGTCAATAGACTATCACGCAATGCCGTTAGTCGATCAAATGATGGTGCATAACCATGAGCTTGTAGAAAATGAATGAAAAGCACAGTCAGTTTGAAATTTGTGAAACCCGGACTCGGTCCTTGTCGTGTTAGTTCACCACGACGTGAGATAAACTTGAGGACTGAGATACACTGGCGGAATTGTGGTACACACAAGGCAAGCATACGCATCAGTGAAGCCATGGTTCGTCCATCGTGAAAATTCACCGTTCGTCCGGTTTCGGGCAAACCTTCGAACACGCGAGACACATCAAGTCCGACCCCTAACAAATTGAAACGCGGTACATGCAGAATTGGAATTCGACCGGGAAAAATTCTGGTCCCGTGAAACCCCAGTGGATCCAGGCGCANGAGGAGACGACGTAGTAGGAATAAGAAAGACGACCTCAGTTTGGAATTAGGAGCGAGAAGGGCTGGTATAAGTGGAAAATCGGCATTTAGGCGTGTGACTCTTCTCGGGGCATTTAACGGTACTATATGGGATAGGGATGGGGATATATTGGTGCTCATATTGATGACCAAATCCAAATCGGACGAAGATGACCCCAAACCGTCGACAGCTGATCCGAAGACGGAGACTTCCGTTCCGGGTCGGAGGAACGACAAGATTTCCTGTAGACTGTCGCTCACCACAAAACGGGCGAGCATTTCTGGATAGGTTAGTTGCATCGTTTCATGCAGGACAGTCGCCTGTTCCGCAAGCGAACTGCAATGCATCAGTTTGGCATGTAGTGTTTTGCTGGACGCCATTCCGCTTTGCAAGCTCAAATTGAGACCATCAAATACTTCCCGTTCCGTGGCACGAAATCTGTTCGGTGGTAGAGGCCATCTGGATGGATCGGAACAGAGTCGGAAAGGAGGAAGCTCAATCGGCTCGGATCCATGGTGGTGGTTGACGGAAAGACGAACAAAGCCTGGAATACGACACAAGCCTTGGTGTAGTGCTTCGGTCGAGTGGGCTTCGATTAGTAAAACCCCCTTGCGCTCTTTCTCTGGCCAATAATATACATTTTTGGGAGAACCACATTGGCGCTCAAACAGGGTGAGGAGGCGTGCAACACCCATGGGAGCACAATTCAGAAGAGCACAGCGTTTGGCCACGGTTATACAGTTGGAAATCGAGGCGCTCAAATTGTCGAACATTTTATTCTACAGCTTAGGGAAGAAGAGAATCACAACACTGAACAGTAAGACTCACCTCGGCAGCTAATGGTGCTTGCATGCAGAACACCTCCAATTTCAGATCACCCAGATCAGTGTGCAATGTGACCGCCTGAAAGAGGGGAAAAAATAAATTTTATCAAATAAGCACATCATTTACGAGATTGCGAATCTTTATCTGCAATGGTTACAAAATCACCCAGTGGTAAGCGGAGTTGATCTTCTGGGCGAGCAGAAAGAAAGTGTACGTAATAAAAAGTTATCCAGTCTGAGACATCGAAAAGAACGAAACTTCGTAGAAAGAACCGGGTGGTTGGAGACTTCGCAAGTGGTGGAACAAATGCTGATAGTTACGGTTACGGAGAAACGGAAGGCAGGTCACGCGAGAGCTCAGTAAGTTGCATAAATGAAGGAGAATTAGAGTCAAACGGCAAAATGAAACGAGTATAAAGCTAATATATTGCTATATATCGCTCTGTCGTATGTTACACGTGGACATCAGTTGCTTCTGGATAGAAGCTTAACTGATTTTTTTTCTATTTTACACGTATGTGGAAAACTCTGCAAGAAAGCAGATGCACGTGTGTTCAAGGTGGAAGGACCACTTGAGACAAGGATAACGATAATTGTTTTTACAAGACAAAGACGTAATAAAACAATAGAGGGAATATAGGCCAAGTAGTTCATGCGGAGGATTTTGTACATCGGTTTTAGAACGAGTTCATATTCTGAGAAATGGTTAACAAAATACAGCGTGGAAAAGAACAGAAGAACGAATCGAGTGAATCAGTAAAGACTATGGTTTTGTCAGGACACTATCAAGCGTCGCTATATACATACATACCGTGGTAGTAGCCAACTATGCGGGATATAGTCTTCATCAACTAGCCTATCATTTGACCGGACTTGCCGTTCTCCGAGTGCAACCAAAAACGGTGCAACATTTAACAAAGAAAGGATATACCATCCATAACCATTGTGAGAAAACACAAAGCAGCGAACAAGCTCGTTTGCGGTGATTCTTCTACAGGCTAATACATCACAATTTATATCGAACTTTTTGGCAGGATAGCCAAGCATCATTCATTTAGTTTAAACCTGTCCGGATGGCAATTCAATAATTCCGAGTGTTTTGAAAGGAAACAAATTCGGGGTACCTAACCTCAACTTTTCTTTTTAATCGTATAGTAGGAGACGTTTTTCGAATATTTTTTTATCTCATACGGATGGTGGCATCAAAGTTTTCGACGAGACTCAACCTTGACGTGGTGTGATGGCTTGTGCACCTGTCTGACCCAACGAGCTACACAGGTTGGCTTTTTTCAAGCCAGGAGATCGTATCATGCCTGGAAGGTCAATAGGTAGAGATCGGACGAATTCCAGTCTCCTGGTCCTCCAGGTTGGGGGTTGGCGTCTCAGTCTGTGCAAAATAGTAGAGTGGTAATTGATCCAAGTAAATGGGTCTCCACTTCGTTTCACCCGCTGCCTTGCGGTTAGGTTCTTGTCAGAACTAAAGGCTTTGATTGGGAACCCTAATCGTTCTCCTGCTTTAGTGGCTGGACACCCTAGCAGTACCTGTCCATCAAACCCCAATGCATAGGCATTGTGTTTGGCAACGATCAGTGAAATTCGCTTCTCTGTATTTTGCTGTGCACTAAACAAGATATAAATCAAAAAGGCACCTTGAACACCATCTCAATCTTAGCCCCCTATACAATTTTTGCTTATTTTATCACATCTAGTTCACCCTCACACGTGTCTCTTCGTCTCACTTCGATGTGTACCCACTGGATGTCTCAGGCAATGCGTACGCACTAATGGGAAGACACTGTATCTGAAGTTTCACTCATGATATGATCTAGCCTGGTAACGAGACGCTAAATAACTAAACAGAAGGTGTGAACAATGAATCCCAAACAACATCTACATTTAGAGTATCAAGCTTGGATTAGTCCATTCGATTGTTCAGAGGCACCAGGCTCTCTTGATGGTCTTGGGTGTGGGTTTCACTCCTAGGGCACTCGTTAATTCCCCACTAGTTGAATGCATTTAAATGTGACGGAAACGTTTCAGGGGTAATGGGTTTGAAGTCACGACCCGAATGTTCGCTGTTCGAGTCCTGACAGGGACACAGAAAGTGCGCACTGTTGACGAACCCAAAACAGGACGAAACAGCTGTCCCGGTGCTCTTTGTCGGTTTTCACAAACATTTCCATAACATCTACATTTATTTCTGTCTAACTTTCCCTCTATATATTTGCACATTTACACAGGCACAGGCAAAAATGGTCAGAGTATATGGAAACGAAAGTTCAAGGATGAGTTTCACGAATCGCTGCGAGTAAGTTCGCAATGTGTTATTTTCTCTCATTTTGTTCTCCGCAACCAGCACAACACACGTGGAATTGTCTCTATGGCCAATAACGGACCGGATTCGAACGGGTCTCAGTTTTTCATTACCTATAGCAAACAGACCATGCTAGACATGAAATACTCCATTTTTGCCAAGTGAGTTATTTCACACATATTTCGCTTGCGAACGGTTTCACCTGTTCCCACAGATGAGTGGAAAAATAATTTTGTTCACATGGATACATGCTAATAAAATAGGGAATCCAGTTTAAGAGATTTCACGATTTCACGTCCTACCACCGCAATACCGGCCCTAGATAAAAGCACTGAATTTTGGTATTGGGACGGGTGAGTGCCTGGTTGGGTCGAAAATATGTCCTGTAACCTTAAAAGTAAGCGCTTGCATACTGCCAAGTGGTCTTACGTGTCCTCGATTCCCCCCTGTGGCCGTAATTAATCCTCAAGTATCCAGATAATATTGGTTTTGGTATGCCCTATCCCGGTCTATCCACTCGTCCTACTCGTCAGGCCGGGTATTCTTAATCACTTCCCCGCTCTCTCTCTCGCTCGCTCGCTCGCCCTCTTTAACTTTCCTCGTTTGTTTTCTAATTGGCGGTCCCAACTGAGCTGATTTTCTAATATTCCTTAATAATAATACAGTTAGTTGTCTCTATTCCACTCTGATCGTATTCACCAAGTCTCTTTGCAGCAATAAGTATCTGGTGGTATCATTTAGTCGTGATGGGATCTCATCACTGTAGTTTTTAGAAAGTTCAAAGATTATCATTTTATGTTTCGCAGCTTCACGTACTTCCTATCTTATCGGATGTTTTATTTACTCTGTGTATACTGCCCTATTAGTTTTATAGTTTTACGGGAATTCTTCCCGGTCGACTCATAAAAGACTTCAGATTTATCTCCAAATTTCTCAGATAGCTCTACATGGGTTTTGATCGTGAGCAGCTCTTCGAGTCCACACCCTTTCTGTTCATCATGACCAGAGCACTTGGTTCTCTGCCTGTTCCACTCACTCACACTACAAATTGGACGTCACTCACGCACAGCAACCGTTATTCTGCTGTGTCCTATTTAGCTCGCTTTGTCAGCAAATCTAAGCAAATTTCATCCGAGCTAAGGAATCCACGGTTTTGATTAATATACGATTGCGTGTGATTGTCAACCTATACATACATGCATCCATTGTATCTGTTCATTTATTTGTGTCGGACTGATTGTAACAGTGGAACCTTTATCTATTGGAAGGCCAAAAGCATTTACTTAATTTGTGCGCTTAGCCTTGGTATTACTTGCCCCGTTCGTCTCATTAGACTGGCGCAACACGGTTTGGACAGCGTTGCTTGAACATCGCATCATGCAGCTGCAACCGTATGCCATACCGTTTACCGGTAACCGGATCTCACAGTGACAGGTTGCCGACCAGCAATTTAATCTTTTCTCCATGTGTGTGGACGTGTATTGGTACCCTATTCCAGATTCGTTCCCCCCCCTCCCTTGCAGGAGAAACGTGGCTTCCCGGACAGTAAAATTTGTCTACCCCCCCTCCCTCCACAACCTCTTCAGTTATGGCTTTATTGGGAACTAGGTCAACCTAATCCGTCCTGTCGCGTCATTTACACGCTGAAGGTGCACAGAGCGTGACAAACCTACAAATTCTCAAATCTTTAAGAAAAATTCCTACACTATCTGATTGTTCACCTACTTGTTTATATCGATATTGAAACTCCCTTAGAGTTGCGTAAAACCTCAATTTTACTTTCAGCACGGTCCTAACTGCCAGATTACATATCACTCGGTTGTTTGACTTTCGTGTCAATACCATTCAATGATTTTCACCCACTACCCCGTCACGTAGTAAGTCGAGTAATGTCTCGGAGTACAGGGAATACGGAAAGCTCTAGGACTGAAGTAATCTCAAAACTTCATCATCTACCTTTACTTCTGGGGGAATGTTGAAGTATTTTTTTTCTGAGGAAGCACTTTACGACTAAGACGGCGCGCTTAAAACTTCTCCCAATTATGAATGAGACCTTAGCGTTTCACTAAACCTGCATCTCATTCATGGTTTTACAGGGTTATCGATGGCTGGAACGTGTTAGATGAACTGGAACGTGCCCCGGTGGAGGAGAAAACCTATCGACCGTTGACTGACATTCACATTCAGAATGTGACAATCCACGCGAATCCGTTTGCCGAATAAGCACTTCCCGATCCCCGATTCCACCTTCACCTTTCCTGTCCTACTGTATTCACGCATCTCCTCCTTTCTGTATGAGACTGTAATAAGATCATGCACTGTTTAATGCATTTTATCATTGAAACATACTGTATTTTTATCCTTTCATGGTCTGGCTGTGTGTGTGTGTGTGTGTGTGCATGTTTATGGCATCAGCGACTCGTGATTGTCGTTTACCAATCACTTTGTGAGATTTTTTTTCAATGCGACGGAATTGTTTCTCACATGGGTTGGAACGCATTCTGATTCAATTGTGGAACGTGTGATTTTGGTTGTTGTTTCAAACACACATCGCCCATTCACGAGTGCGAATTGAAATCAGGGGGAGGTCGAAGGAGTGCATCGCTTAAACACAAAAAGTGACAGCCGAAATCACTGCAACCGAGTATTCTTCTCGTGTAAGATTTCAATGATTATACACAGTCAGGTCAACCGATGAGTCTGAAATCTCGACAGTGATTTCCGATTGAGCAATTCACAACTATTGTCCCTCGCCCTCTCGTGAACTTTTTGTGCGCTTCTAGATGGAATTCCCTCATTGTTGCTGTCAACCTTCGACAATCAACTGGGATGTTTAATATTTCAAATTTAGTTTGGTAAACCATCAACCCTAGCACTCATCTTCCGGTTTTGTTTCTCCCCGTCCATTTTAAACTAAACTGCTCAAGAAAAGAGAAACGACCAATGGGAAAGAGCTTTTCCCAAAGTACAGTAAAATAAACGAAAATACCCCATAAAGCCCCAGGTGTGATATTGTTCGTGTACCACTGTTTATAGTTATAATAATATAATAAATTGCATGATTCTTAGATCAGGTGTCACTTCCCCATGGGGCTGAACACGAACCCCAAATAAGAACCGATGAATCTAGGTAACCTTGGGGTATTACTCATGCCTCGCACATAAGCTTATCATGTTCCATGATCGCGTGATCCACACCGACTTCTGTATACGTTACTTCTCGAGGGCACATACCTGGATACTTGTCGGATGCTTGTCAGTGATCGTAACTTGAGTTACTACGCTACGGTAACCACATTAGCGTTCACAGTTCTCAGCCAAATCTTGGGGCGTGGGGTTGACAATTTTACTCAATCTATTTAAGTGTTTAGGCATACAAAGGCCGACTTGTATGAAAATTTGATAGTGAAGTAGACATCGAGAGAAACTTTTGTTTCTAAACCATGGTACAATACCATATTGATAGATGGTTCAAATTGTTTGGCAGATTGAAGCCTTATGTTGATAGTTGATTGGTCTTATTGACCATGATTGTTCGGCTCCAACCAATTATAGTCCCAATCTATAAAATCACGAGTTTTACGGTAAACATACAGACCCAATCCAGCTTAGTTGCAGCCTTGATATATAATTTTAAAGCGCAAGTTGAGAAATTCAATTCATCCGAAATCCCCATCTAGGGGATTCTACGTTTTGCCCATTGATCCTTCCAATTCTCAAGACAGGATCTCGGAACGATCGCAGAAGCTGCTGTGGGAGAAATGGGATCTCAATGTGGACCAAAGTGTCAGCCTCCGTCCTTCTTCGATGTCTGACTCCTATAAAAGAGACCAACATCCGAGAACATCAAGCTGAATTCCGGCTTGGACGTGGATGCATTGATCAATTTGTTACGTTGCGTCAGGTCCCTGAGCTGTGTCACACCCAACGTTGACCAAAGACCACAGCGCTCCTTGACATGAAAGGAGCCTTCGACTCAGCTGATCGTGAAGCTCCAATAGGTTCCCTTCCTCGAAAAGGAATGATTCAGAAGTACGTTTACTCACTGAGGTCACTGTACTGACATATATCTGATCAAGTGAGGGTTTACAGTGAACTAAGTAGGCCGTTCATCACCAGCAGCAGCATTGAATTTACGAATAGAAGATATCCATCGGCTAGAAGTTTTCAGTTATCGGGGTTCACGACGAGACGGCACCTTGACGTGGTGTGATGGCTTGTGCACCTGTCTGACCCAACGAGATACCCGTCAACAGCCGCTTATGTGCGATGCGGCTCCAAGGGTCTATCAGCGTCCGGAAGGGAAGCAACACCAAAAGGTGTTTATTCATCTTTTCAGAGTATGCACCAACGAACTGCAGCTCTGACACACAAAATGACGAGTTTTATGATAAATTCACCGAACTCATTAGGTTAAGCTAAAGCTCCGCTGTAGTTGTTCTCTCAGGTGATTTTAACGCTCAAGTTGGAAAACAGCATCGGAAGCTTGCTTAGGCGGTCATTGTGCTCTGCGCTGCCAGCGAACAGATAATGGCGATCGACTTCTTCAGTTCTGCGCAGATCATCATCTGTTCCTATCCAGCACTAACTTCCGACATAGCTCTCAACGGACAGCAGTGTGGCGCTCAAATTCAACTGACACGATAACTCAGGTCGACCACGTAGCAGTAAGCTATCGTTCGCGTGGCTCAGTACAAAAATGCAGGTCCTATTGGACCACCTTCGTGAAATCTGATCATGCAATTCACTCTCCAACTCACTGGTCGCAGAAAATTCTACCAAACTTCGTTGGCAGATCATCGCTTATATGACCCAGCCGTTCGTGCCCGTTTTGAATCATAACTAGGGTAAGAGCTAAACGCGCTACTGGGTGGT